ATTATGATCTTGCCAATACGCTCTTATATATCTAATACAAAATATACACTACTGACGCGTGAGATTATATATATAAATTCTTATAATGCTATAAGTGTAATCAGTTAACATATATTTAATATTTCATTATATAACTGCATGTATTTGTAGTAATTTCTTACTTATAAATTAGTATGAATGCAAATAACACAGAAAGTACTAATAAAAATTTAAGTACTTGTATAACAGAAAAACACTAAATTTATTCATCCTGGTTCTATTCAATATTAATTATAATACGGATTAACATAATTTCAAGTGTAAACGTTTTTTTTTGAAATGCTATATTTTGAATTAACAGATAATTTTAATAATTTTTTTTCTTACATTCTAAAAATTATTCCATATATACATTAAAACATTTAAAAAAAAATCCTAATATATTTTTGTTCACTTATTTACATTAATCTTTAAATTTATAATTTATTCTTAGCTTATATTGAATATTAATATCCTTGATAATTAGATAACATATAGTATTCGTCATCTCTTTTTATACTACTAGATATTTCGGTTTCTTGAAATCTATTTATTTCTTCATCTATAAGATTCCACTTATTTCTTTTGTATGACAATATTCGTTTCAAATAAGAACTAAATGATGTATACTGTTTTATAATAAAAAATTTTTGTGTATTAAAAAATTTTTTTTTTCATGATAAAATTATATATTTTTATTTTATTCATAAATGTTTTTTTAATACATATATATAAAAATTATCGCATATTTAACCTTATATAAAGTGAATAATAAAATGGATATTAATGATGTTATAAAGAGTGTAATTATAATAGGAAATGAAATATTATTTTTGCAGGACACTGTTGTTTTTGTTATAGTTTTCACTTCTGTGTTACAAGTTACTGTTTCTTCTGTTTGCATTTGTTTATCAAAATACTTTTTAAATGACACTACTTTATTATAAAATTCTTGGTTATAATTATCAGAATTATTATCTCTCTTTTTAGCATAATTATGTGTATAATGTATATCTTTTATTATTCCTAAATCTTCCTGTGTAAAATCAATTTTATACTTATAACAGTTATGAATTGGCATATCCCAACTAAAAGATTTATATAATTTAAGCAGATTATCATAATTTTCTGTTATATCCTTTATATTTTTTACTTCCTTAATATTATGAGACAACCAAAAATACAGATATACACAGCTAGCTTCTAATAATGTATTATTAAGCATAGATTGAACATCAACTAAATATAACATAGCCTGAGTGCATATCTTTCGGTCTTTTAGATTTTCATCAATTATAATTGTTTTTAATTTACTTCTCACACTATCTTTATTACATACATTGCTAGACCAAGCACCTCCTAAGCCATGATCAGCTTTTTTTTTATAATTATCCATAATTTCATTGCATATGGGATATAGTGGCCAAAATTTATTCTGAACATAGGACAAAAATCGTAGAATGATAAAATTATACTACATTAAAAAAATTTTATAGTATTTATATAATATACAATATGTAAATATTATAGTATTAATATTATATTAAAATAATTAAAACGTACAACTGAATTCTCCATTTTATATAGGGTTACATACTTCTATGGATAATTAAAAAAATTGATAAATCATATGAATAAAATTGAATTTATTTATATAAAAAAGTATATGTAGAATAAATAATCAAAAAATTATTCTTTTTAATATATATATATTTTATGTTATAATGTCTTCCAACTTTTTTTTCTATAAATTACAATTCAGGCTCAAATATATTAGTAATTATAGGCTATAAAACGTATATTTTCTTATATAATTTAATAAAATAATATAAAATGTCAAGATAATGTATATATATATAAACTAATATAATATTGAATGTTAATGAATAACATTAAATGAATCAAGATATTTGAATATTATATAATATTATAAGTATTTTGGAAAAATATAAAATATCTAAAACGTTAATATGTGTTATTAAATATAATATATCTGTAATTTTATTTTTATTATGATTGTTTATTGCTGTTTTAATAGCAGTTTAATAAATATTATATGAATATTTTATAATAATAGAATAATTTTCTGTATGTTTAAAGATTTAGTAATTTCGTGTTCAGAGAAAAAAATATTTATAAGTCCGTTAAAATGAATTGCAGTAATTTATTGAATTTAAATAATTACTTATATATAATAAATAATCTTTTAGATATTTTATAACTATTTATTTTAGAGAAAAGTGCAACAAAAAATAATATTTTTTAAGTGTCTATGAATTAATCAAATATTTATTTTATATTGATTATTCATGAATAAATTATATATTATAATTTCTATATATATATAAATGTATTATAAGAACTATGATTACATATCTCATTCTTATTTAATCCAACATTTATAATTTATTGTTTTATAAAATTATCATCAAATATCATGAGTTTTTAATAATATTAAAATATATATAGCACAAATAATATGTCCTTGAATAATATGCGTTCATTAATTTCTTCAATACATAATACTTCTACACAATTTTGTTCATTACTACACTTGTCAATTTTGTACTATGTTTTTCTTGAAAATTATGGAATTAAAAGTACACAATATAATTAATCAAACGATTTATAAGTGAATCAAGACAAAAATTAATATTTATGCAATTTTGTGAATAAAAAAGTAATTTCTTATAAAAATTGAGAGTCTTTACGCGTACTACATAAATAATTATATTTTCATAATGAATATTTATATCCATTCTTTAATTATTTATTTCAAGTGAACTGTATGTAATATAAATGTATAATAGATAAATATATCTCACAACAAATTTTAATTATTTATAAAAAATGTATACTATTTTATTTTTATGTATTATTTTTTAAACAATAAAATGTTTATTTAATATTTTTAGCATAATAAATACAAACTGTTTTATAATATTGAATATTTTATAGTTTATGTGGTACCTTATAAAACAAAATTTTTCTATGTACTTGATCTTATGTGTTTCACTTGCATAATTGTTAAGTATAAATTAAATATATTTTTACTTCAAAACAGATGACATTTATATTTCACATAAAATATATTACATATGAGACAATATAATATTATTTATTTCTTATTTCATTAACTATTATTATTTAAAACACATAAAACTAAATTAAATATAATAAATCATCCTAATATATTTTATTATTCGTATATTATACAAGTAAATTTTTCATTCATAATTGTTATAAAACTAATGGTATATGCAGATATAGGATAATGTAATATATTTAAAAAGAAGTAGCCTTTATTATTATTTTATTTGTAAAAAATCAATGATTATATTATATAAGAAATAATACCATAACACATAGATACATTCATATAGTGAAATAAGAAATAAATCATATAAAACAAAAATATAGTTATAATTTGGTAAATAAAAAATTATAATTTGAATTATTATTATTATTTTTTATCAATATAAGTGCACAAACAAATTTATGTGAAAATGATATTTTAGAACCTGTACATGCTTATTCACAAATTTAATAATTTTATGAGAATATAACATAAAGAAGGATATAAATATCAATCAGTAAAAATTAAATAATTCACATAATGGAATGATAAAATAAATTGATCTTAAAATTACTATAATCCTATAGGTTTAATGCTAAAAAATGTAAAATATATGGTAGCATAGTATTAATGTTTCCAGGGGTTTCCTATATATATATTATAGGAAATTTTATAATTGTTTAAATCCTTCATGTTTATGAAATCACTTAAATCATTGAATATATAAAATATATATATTAATAGATATGTTTGAACACTCAAATATGTTGTGATTAAAATATATATTTTATATCTGTTCTTACCTTTTTTAATTTTCAAATATTTCCTATTACAATATCTGAATTCTATCATTGTCATAAATATAATGATATATCATGTAAATGTGATTTTCACAGGTTCACTATATTTTATAATATTATAATTTATGTTATAGGTTCTATTTACGGAATTGAATTAATTGTATACATATCATTATTTATGTATTTCTAACTAATAAAACCCTTTATAATAGAAATATATTTAATTTACAAATTTTATTTATTTTGCTTCAATGAATGCTTTAAATTGTACGCATTATTAATATAAAGAAATTACTCATACCCTTTTTCATTTTTACATATATAAGCAAAGACAAAATATTAGTCTATAAATTCCTTAATAAATATTCAAACGACATTATAAAATAAATGCAAAATATACTCACATTATTATCACATATATTGAATTATGAAGATAAGAAACATCAAAACACTGATATAATTTTTATGATAAATACTAAAAGTTCTATATACAAAACACATATACATATTATTAATTTCCAGTGATTATCTCATTTTTTAAATATAAGTCATTAAATTTTATTTTTACCTTTTCTAAGTTTAAAACGTATATAAAAGCAGGAATATTAATAACACAATAATACGAATAAATAAAATTTAAAAATTATGCATATATATCCAATAATCAAAGATGAGTTCATCGTATTAAATGATTCTTAAAAATAATAATAAAACCATAGTCGATTATATTATAAAGTGTACATAAAATTATATATTTTATTGTTTTTTATAAGCACATTAAGTTATATAATTAATTTAATTACATAAATAACTATATACCTAATTATAAAAGAGCCAATCATATAATCATAGAAAAAAGTAAAATTTGTGCATATTCATTTTTGAAATCCACATTAACTGAGTTTTTACATACTCTTTTCATGGTAAAAATAAATAGTAGTTAATAAATTTATTATAGTTAATATGTATGAAAAAAATATCATATGAATAAGAAATAATTTGTACTAGGTATATTATAAGGCGTTCTGTAAACTTACTTAAAAATATATGAAATATTCATGTGAACTTATTTGTACATTTTATTGGACTGTTTATATAAATCTTCAATAGTATATTATATATTAACTATAATAAAAATATGAAATAAAGTAATCTAAGTTTCCATCCTATATACGCTAAATATTTTATCTAAGGTATTTACTTTTTTTATTTCCTGTATTTCTTGTTATATGCATATTATATAACAATTATATCTAGAACATTTATATTGATTATAGTAATATCAAGTTATATGTAAAAGAGCCGTTTATATTTTCATTAAGCAATAATCTTGGACAATTATAGCGTATAAATTCTATTGTGTACCTAATGTAATGAGAAATGCTTACAATTTCCAAAGGTATATTCATTTATATTATATCTATTTTTTTATATTTTTACTTTAAATATATTCTATAAATGTTCTTTCTTTTTAATGTCTATTTGTACAATACTAATTAATATAAAATATAAAATGTATGAATAGATTAAATTTTTTTAAATTTATATTATTTTTTATATATCTCAAAATATATGCTTAATTATTTACAATATTCAAAAAATTATATTGATAAAAAGAAAAACAAAAAAATAATAAGTATTAAAAGTGAAAAATATACCGTAAAAACATATATTATTGATGATAATAAAAACATGGAATTAGTTTTGGAAATATATATGTGAGACTGTATTATATTATTGAATAAATGATGGACCACCTAGTCACATGCTCTAAAATTTAAGTTTGGATACAAAAAATTTCCTTGAAAAAAATTTAATATCATAGCAATTATTACATTTTATATGGAAAACATAAATGGATCATATGTATTATTATTGTATAATCGAATATAATTCATTGTTAAATCATTATTCCTGTATTTTGTTCTTTTTTCCCCATTTTTTTTATTCGTATAATAGAAAAACAAAAATTATTCTCCAATGATTTATTGTATATAATACTCTTATTGACTAAAATAGAATAAATATATAAACATTTATTAAAGTAAAAAGTAAAGAAATGTTTAAGACATTATGATTATACATCTCATAATAATAATAATTTTTCATTGCATAGTTAAGTATATATATAAGCAAACATATAATATGATATATATATATTATAACATAGCTCATTTAATGAAAATTATTTCATACACAAATGAATTGATAAATATACACATAAAAAAATTATTAAATTTCACATTTTTCGAGTATTTGTAATTTCATTCATATGTATGTTGATATTATCTTAGTAATGTATATTCTAATTTAACCATTATAAAATCTCATTACCTTATAAAATAAATATGGATTTGCTTTTTTAAAAATATTTTAAGTAGGATTTAATCAATTTTTCAATAATTTGATATGTTTTGAACTTATTTTTTTCATTATTTATGATTTTTATGTAACTAATTCAATTATAGTTTTATAAGAAAATTTTTCTATATTAAGGTATTAGGAATATTGTGAATTTGATTATATATTTATTTATATACTCTAATTATTCTTAATAATAACTTATAAACAATTCTAAAATTTAAAAAAGAAAAAGTATGATAATACATTTTATACAGAGGTTATATATATTTATAAATGTATGCTCTATAATGTAAATGTATACAATATTCTGTTTTTATTTTGTAACACATAAATAAATTGAAAGGAATGATTATTGGAAAAATAAATTTATATTAAATAAATTATTTATTTCATTAATTATATGAAATAATGTAATATTATTTTAGTTTACAACGATTTCCATTATATCTGAAGTAATGTAAGAATATATTATATATATTTATATTAATAATAAGTACGAAAAAAATAATATAAATGTACAACGATAATTATTGCAAATATTTTGCTCTACTCTATCATATTATGCACATTTTCTTTGTTTTTTTCTGAAATTTTGATTAGATATAAAAAATGAATATGTTTTAAGTAAATAATAAATTAGTACTTTTTTATATTACTTTAGTAACCAATATAATTTTCATATATAAAACATTCATATATTCCTATATAACCGAATTAAATTAATTTTAATTTTATATTTTTTTTTCTTATGTAACTTTATATACAAATCCATAAGTACGTTTGCACAGAAATTTTATCAATATTTTTATATTTAGACAAATATGCTATGGATAATAAGAAATCGAAACATTTGAAATATGAAATACATTGTTAAATAAAAAAAAAAAATAGTGAATCATACTTATTAAATAGTGCACAGTGCCTTGAAGTATTAATATCTTGGCGTATATTAAAAAAAATAAAATAAAATATACATAATATATAACTAAAATTATTATGAAACACAAAACATATGAAATAATGAGGACTATATTTATGTAGAAACTAAGAAAAAAATATATTGCTTAGAATATTTAAAAAAAAAAAAAAATTAATGTAAACTTTATATATTCACTGGGCATGCCTCATACATTTTAAATCCTTATATATATACAACTGTAATATATTTATTACATTGAGTTGTTAAATATTTCATAATGATACAGTATAGTATACTTATGTATTAACTTAAAGTATTTAATATATAAGCCATAAAAACCTTAATTTCTATCTTTATTTATATAAGTACTTGTAAAAATACCTTTTCCAATTTATATAATCCTGTATTATATGACATTTTATCCTCCAAGTAGAAATAATTAATTCATTTTATGCCACATTAAACATGTAATTCAATTATTTACATCACTCTAATTTTTTTCATTCATTGTATTATTTAATTGTATTATTTTTATATAAACAATATTTATTAGATCAAAATATATAGATACCATTATAATTTTCACATATAGTGGTTGCATATTTACACATTAAATAGATATATTGTATTCTAAAAATAATATAAGTTTAAATATTCTTCTTAATTATTATAATAATAATATAATTTGAATGAATATATAAAGGAGAAAATGTTTATTTATAAATATAATAATCATATGCAATTATAAATTTTTATCTAATATGCTTACAATATTAAAACAGAAATGTTGAATAATTTTTTTTTTATTGCATTTTCTATGCATATATTTCACATCATATTATTAAAATTATTTATATTTATTTATTTAATTTACTTTATTTAGTACAATAATATTATTATCATGTTTTAGATTGTATTATTTATCTAAAATATTTTTGTTATATTGTGTAATACTAATATTTTTCACTATTATGTAAAATGTATTGTATTCATGATATAAATTGTCATTTTAAAATATAAAAATTAAAATTATCTATGCTATTAAAATTATTTTTTTAAATATTTTACTATATTTTGATGCATAGAAATTGTATTATAGGTATGAATTTTGTTCTTCTATTAAAAAAATACGTGAGTTTCGGAATTTAATCAATTATGTAAAAAAAACATTTAATTTCAAGAATTATATTTTCTCATAATAATTAATGTACTAAATTTGCATATCTTTATATCTATATATTTATATATAAACCTAATAATTATGAGTTATATGTATATATCAATATTTTACCATTTTTTTCTTAAGCGATATAATTATTATTCATCATATTCAAGCGCTTTAAAATTTATATTACACTTCTTAGTATGAATTAAGAAATAATTATACATTTTTAATTAATTTACCGTTATTTTAATATTTTTTTTTTTTTCTTATCATTTTATTTTGGTAAAAAAATGTAGCCTTATAATTTTATTTTACAAATGAAGTTATCTTGAACTTATTAATTCTAGTCCAATGCATATTAAGGGCAGTCTAATGAGGAATTTGATATGTGATATTCGTTACGAATGAACTCATTGTATGTCTCTTCAAATGAATTCACTATGATGAGATAATCTTCCTTTTTTCTGTTTAATATTCTCCTTAACTTAATTAGAACTAGTTGTAAAAATGAACCATAAGTATTATACTAATAATAAAGAAACAATGTGGCATACATGTGCATATAATATTTAATTTATATAATTCTTTTATAGTCATATTTCTTATAAATTTTTATATAGTTGTACATGTATACATTAAACTTTATATTTAAACTTGTACATAAAGAAAGTAATCATTATTATTGTAACAGGTATGATACACAAAACTAAAATAATGATGCGTTCATGTTTCCCAAATGTGTAATGTAGGACTTCATGGACTCCTAGTTGAGCTATTACAACTTGTTCATGTTTTATATACTTATGTTTAAAATCGTTTAGTAATTCATGAAAACTTACGTTTTTTCCTTTATCACATATATTTGACAGATCCATATATATATTATAACAATCACTACTAAAGGGGAACACATCAATTTTATTTTTAACGATGTGATATAGTTTATTCAGCTTATCCAATATGAAAAATGTACCATCATCAAGATCTACATGTTTACCCTTACATATATTAGATACAATTGCACTGCTTCTTGTGGATCCTGTATTTATCATAATATCGTAAGCATCATTAATTTTTTTAGGAGATTTATAATATTTTAACAAGACCTTTAGCTTATAGTTGAAATATACACAACTTGGTTTTATAATATCTGATTCTGCATTATTTATATAATCTAAGTAATGTATGAGTTCTTTGCATTGTGATATAAAACATAAACTATAAAATCTTGTAACACCTAAAAGTCTTGTAATAACAATGCACGTATTTTCATTTTTTCCTACATTAATTTTTTCTACATGCCTTGAATGTGTGTCAAAATCATCCATGCATGTGGGAAATATACCTTTAAGCTCGAAATGAAAAATAAATTCATAATACACAGAAAAGATATGTATCAGATTTATACAAAATATATTTTAAACATTCTTTCACATAAAGAATGATTATAAATTTTGATATCTTAAATTTTAATTGAAATAAGTAGGAAATTACATCATCCTTCAAAGTTATTTTTGCATCCATTATGCTTTTTTCTGTGAAATATAAAAAAAATAATTTCGGTTTCTATAAATCCTTATGTGGTAGAATTATCAAATTTTTTACAAAAATTATATAATATATTTAAATTTTACATAAATTAATAATGTTTTTACTTGTATATACCAATATATTAAACTAAGATATCATTATACATTGGGAAATGGATTACGTCATCTACATGAATAAAAAATATGTATAAATAATATATAACTTTGGAAATATGTATTACTGTAAATTTGTAAGTAAACAATTTTTTTTTATTATTATGTATATATTTTTAATTAACAAATTATCTACTATATATATTAATACAAAAAAAATATGTATTAAATAATCAACAATATATAACAACGAATTTATTTATACATACGTAATCTACCTGTATTAATTTAAAAGAGATGTATAAAATTAAAAAATATATATGTTTATTATATTAATGCACATATATATTTCGGACATTGACTAATTCATTATATATAATAATATATATCCATTAATTTAATCTAGATAAATAATATGAATAGTATATATGTGAATAAATATAAATACATTCTTGTTTCATAAATTAAAATTTGAAAACTAAATATATTTTAAAATAAATGTATATATATATATCCTTTTGAAATCTGTTGCTCGAAGAAAGGTTACTCTTCTACAAGCTCTTATATATGATAAATACTTTTAATATATCCATGGTATATGCGTTAGTGTTCATAGATTATTTATTTCAATAGCCACATATATATAAAAATAAACGATATCACATTAAAATGAGCCATTGTTATATACATAAATTAAATATTAATATTATAGAAACTATATATTAACTATTTAATGCATTTATAGCATTTAATATGTAATTATGTTCTACGATAAATTAATATTATAAGTATATATGTAGTATTGATATTATTTTGCATAATAAATACATTTTCAAAAATAATTATGGTATAAATAATCTTCAAAAACATAAATATAATGCAATATATAAAACAATAGTTTATATATAACGACTATTCTATTTAAATTTTCTATGTGTTTATCACATATTTTTTCAAATATTAAAAACGCTTATATAGGAAATAATGCATTTTCCCTTAATTATAAATATTATAATATGAGAAATTTATATATTTCTTCGTTTTCCGATAAATCAAGAGAGGAATTATTGTTGTGGATTTATCATATTTAATTAATTTATTTTCTTTATTATTTCAACATTTAAAAGTATGTGTATATCGAATTTAATATAAATAATTGTACACAAAGTATAAAATAACATTTACAATATATATTTCATTAAGTACATAAAAGTGAATAAATATGATAAGAATATTCTTTTTATAAACTTTTTATTCTAATTTGTTTTATCATTATTATATTTATTTCATATAAATAATGGATATACTTTTCTAAAATTTAAATTCATTTGGTAAATGTATAATGTATTAATGTTTCTTATGAAAATAATTATGTAGCTATATAAAATATAGATTTGTTCATTCAAATCTATTTTTAGAACGAATAATTTTTTTCAATTATTAATTATAAAATTAAAACCTTAGTGTATTTTATATAGAACATAATTTTTATAATATAAAGGCGTATAAAAATATAAATTTTTTAATATAAACTTTATCAACTTTTTTATTGTATTAATAATAGCTCTAAGGGATTTCGTATAACCCATGGATATCATAATTATGTCTAAAGTGCCATATTATATACTATATGATATATTACATTTTAACTCTTTTATTCTTACGATTGAAAATATTATTAACAATATATTTAAAATGTCCCGTAATAATATAACACATATATTTAATATGACATAATATATCATAATTATACAAATAAAAATTCCATTAACATTTTTTATTCATAGCATTTAATTTAATATTATGAAATGACAAAATATAATTTCCTCAGAAAAATTATATTTATAGTGTTTTGTGCTATGTGAACAAATATTTGATATAGGATATTAGGGAAAAAATTGAGCTTGTAATTATATTTTCAAGTATTTATTTTAATTATATGAATAAATGTTAATTTACCATAATAAGTTTTCTGTTTCTTACTCGTATTAATAATTTTTTCCCATTGTGTTGTTATTGTGTATCGTGCATTCAATTTATTATTATAAATGAATTACTTATAAAAACATATGCAGATTTTATGTTTTATTATTTAAATTAATATCATGCTGCACAATATTAACATATCGCATTTCCTGATTCTTTTTCATAATAAATGACATAATTTGAAATATTATATCATGGATGTTCTTTTCTTGTAATTGGTAGTAATATTCTTTTTTATATTGTCATTTCTTATATATTCATGATTTTAATTATGATAGAAGATAATATGAAGAAATAATTTTATAATTAAATACTCCATAATTATAAGATATTATATTATTAAGACACATAATAATAAATATAAAATACTAAGTAATAAAATTTTAATATATATATTATCATATAGTATATGAAAAGAATTAGCAATATGTATTATAAGGTATACTTAAAATGAAACACATATAACATAAAACACATAGAAAGCAAACATTTTGTTAAAGAGTGTGATTAATCATATGTATAAACTAAAATAATATTAGTTTATATTTATAAATATATTTTATCACAATTTCTTATGAGTGCTATATTATAATTAAAAATTTTTTTATTACTAAAGTAACATGAAATTTACAATAAATGTATTTTAAGGCAGTTAGTTATATACATATGTATGAAAATTATTAATCTTTCTTCTAATGTTATTAATATGAGTTTGCTCTCATATATATTATTGAATTTTTGAATAATTTTTAATTAATTTTTACGTTATATTCCACCCTTTTTTCGTTCAATATTTTTAATTTAATCATACTTCATATTATATATGATACGCAAATGATAATATAATTATAACATTTTACAATTTAACGAACAACATTGATATATATTTTAATTAATATTCTTCTCATGGGAAGTAAAATATATTATTTCTTTTATTAGTAGTATCATATTAATAATGTTCTGTATTCACGTAATAATGCATATGTTCCATGTATTTACTCATCAAATAAATCCTCTTATATTTATTATATAAAAACATTTCGATTTTAGAAAACTACATATAAAAGATGAATAAGGAGATATTATAACATGTTTATAATTAATCTAAAGCCTTTTAAAAAATAGTTACTATAAATGATTAATAAATATTAAAGATATTCCTTAATAACTTTATATTACATTAAATAGGATGAATAAAATAAGAAAGATTACTGTTAAAAGCATTAAAGAAACTGAAATAATTAACTTTTTTGGTGATCAAACAGAAGAATAATTGCTATTTTTGGTGGTATATACATAGTATCCACCACGTGCGATAAGTTTTTACATTTAATATTAATTTGTAACCTAATACAGAAAGCTACATCAAAGTCTTTACAATATGATTTACTTTCACTTAAAGTCCCCATATGATTTTCCTATAAAACTATATTTTCACATATAGTATAAATCTTTGTGTAATCACTTTTTTTCTTTTTAACCATTCATTGAGAGACTTGCAAATAAACATATATTTTTCATCAACTTCTTCTATTTTATCTTCATCTTCGCCTAATCCCATGTAATAGCCTTGCTCATTCAAGAACCCTGTGAGCTTACGTAAGTAAATATATTTAATATACTCAAAATGTCGTTGTGCAGCAAAAAATTTATCAGAAACATATCTTCCAAGTATGGAATCCCATTTTTCAAATAATGAATTTTTATTTTACTTATTATAACTCTGCTGCTCTTATAAGGAAAAAAAAATTTAAACAGTTATATAAGAATATAATTCATGAGAAATATGATATAGTATCACTCATTAGCATACGATATTTATAAACGTTAAGCGTAATAATGTTATTATAGTTAATGTAAAAAATTCAAGAATCAGATTTTATTGTATATGGTTCATGTGGTAATCATTAAGTTCAGTTCATATTTAATATTGTTATTAGTGTAATATACATGAATCACATTATAATTTAGTGTTATTAATTAATATGAATAATTACATTATATGTTTCAATTAATATTAATTCTTGTTTTACAATATATTACAATTAAAAAGGGGGAAAAGGAATTACCTTTTATTTTGATTGATGGATAATATATGGTTATATTTCTTGCAACATTATTATATAATCTCTACCTTTATCACACATTAATATGAAAGTTATACATAATATTAATATTAGCTTATAATGCACATATATTTATTTAGAATATAAAAATCATTTTATCGCTTTCTATTCAATTTATATTATATTCATTTTATTCGTTATTTTTTTTCTTTTTATTAATATTTATTTGTTACATATATCATTATCTATAATAACATTGCATTATTAAGATATTTATTCAATCAGATGTATATTTATGATAGGTCTATACTTTATATTTTTTTATTAATTTTTTAATTATATATATATTAATTAAATCTATGAGCCTTTAAAAATATATACGTCATTCATTATAGCACAAAATATATGAATTCTCATATTTGTATGTTTCTATAAAATTTATAAAAATAAAATAGATTAAATTAATTTCAATGGTTTAATAATACTTTATAAAGTCTTATATACTCTACAATTTGTGACAAATTTATATATATAATATATAGCACATTCTAAAAAAAATATATAATATTGATAATATTATATAATATAGAAACGTTTTTTTTTAATATAACACTATTTTTAGAATAATATATATATATTATAATATATATGAGATTTATTTAAATATTTTAAATTAGTCTGTATAAATATTACTTTTTTCTGTTTAATGTTAGTATTTTTCATAAATTTTTATTTTTCAGTTCTACATTAATATATGTTATGTTTTTCCATAAAATACATTTAATAATTATTATGTATATCTTATTCATATTAAAATGCAATAATGTGC